TCATTTAGGGCTTTAAATGACCTCAAATTATGCCTGGAAACAAACTGGCAAGCAATGCAGCTGTTTTAAAAGCTATAATCTGGCTGCTGCATTTTGGCCCAATTGCCATTTGCAAATTGTCTGGCCTAACTTTGAATCAACTTTCCCATAGACTGAAAGCATGACAGAAGTTTACAAAATGATGAATGCCATGGAGAAAGTGGATTGAGAAAAGCTCCCCCCCCCCCTTCTCCCTCTCTCATAGCACTAGAAGGAAGCAGAATGCTGAGATATTCAGGAGAGATAAAAGAAAGTCCTTCTTTGTTAAACTATGGAATTCCTTTCCACGGGAGTCAATGATGGGCACCAACCTAGACAGCTTTGAATGAGGATAAGATAAATTCATGGAGTAGAGGGCTATCAATGTCTACTAGCCAGGATAGGTATGCTCTGCCTCCATGGTTCCAGCTAGTCATGCTTCTGAAATTGCAGGAGGGGAGAAGGCTCCTCTGCTTGCGGTTCCCCATTAATGCATCTGTGGCCACTAGACGGGTCACTGATCTGATTCAGCAGGCTCTTCTTATGTTCTTATGTAACCTCCCGGTCCAGAGGCAGTCTATCTAGAGTCCTAGGTTCTTAGGGGCATATGGCCACTGTGAGAACAGGGCGCTGGAATGTACGGCCTGATCCCCTTTGGCCTGATCCAGCAGTCTCTTCATGTTCTCATGTTTTTATGTTTGGGTCATCAGCATATCAATAGCAAGGCAGCCCAACTCTTGTTGGCCTGCTGCACCCTCCAGATTGAGGGTGACTGCATCCTGCCTCAGTGCTGCTGACACCTTATAGGGCCAAATCCTGCCACCTCCTCAGATGCCTTGAGGGAATGCTGTCCTCATCCCTTCCCTCAACCTCGCGAGCTTCGGCTGAGCGTCCCAGGGAAGAAAAGCATCAAATGGACCCTATGAAGCATTGTGGGGACCCACAAAGACAGGAGGCAGCCTCCTCCTGACCTGCAAAGAGGTATTAAGGCTAACCTCGAAATCCGCCCCCAAACGCAGCCCAGAACTCCCACCAAATTGCTTTTTGCTCTGATGCAATATGATAATTCCTCTGGCAGATTCTGATTTCGACAAGCAAATCTTGTAGTTCAAACATGGGATTAACACAGAGTGTATATATATATATATATATATATATATAATATTAAATATTATTATTACTTACAGTTAGGATTATGGAGTAAAGCCTTGAAAGTAGCCCTGGGCAAGCTGGTGCCCTCCATATGTTGAGGACTACAACTCCCATTGGTCTCAGCCAGGCCAACACATCTGGGCAGACCACCAGGTTGGGGAAAACAGAACTTGGGCAGGGCAAGGAATGCAAGAGATGCAGGATGGAAAGGACTTGCTCAGAGCAAACTGGCACTGCCGGCTTTCATTGCATCACACACAGAGAGAGATTATTGCAGGGGGTTAGACTAGATGATCCTTAGGATCCCTTCCAACTCTATATTTCTATGAGACTATGATGGGCAGGGTGGGGGACCTTGTGGATAGTGCCACCACCAGGGGGCCCTGCTTGGTTGATGCTGTTCTCAGACAGGGGCTTCTTGGTGGTAGCTCTCTGTCTTTGTGGAAATCCCTCCCTTGCAAGATGGGCTTGTCTCCATCCTTACTAACTTTCAGAAGAAATTTGAAAACAGTCATACAACCATGGAACTGTAGAGCTGGAAGAAGCGTGGGGTCACTTCCAGTGGGGGGCTCCTTTGCTAAGTCTCTGCTGCCCCCTGTTGCCCAGATGGAAGACCACCTGCCCTCCCTCAACCCGCTAATTTATGGCAATTGAAAGCTGACAGCTTTCCTGGCTTCCTCACTAAGACTATGGGATGTTAGGCCAAGACTTATTGATCAGGCAATATATCACCCCTGAGTGCTCCCTCCCAAGCTGACCCGGGGGCCTCTTAAAACAGGGTTCACCAAATTGTCAATTAAGTGCAAATCAATCCTTGGCTATTTATCAATGTGTTATTCTGTCTGCGCCATCCCAGGGTGGAGAAATCGATTTGCTTCCTGTCACTGGGGACCTATTGAGGGGAGCTGGAAGACTGACATATGCAGGGTCTGGGAAACGACTCAGACTGAGGATAATTGCTGCAGTGGGGAAGCAGCTTGGCCAGAGGACAGTTTGAGGTGGATGAGGCCTTGGGAAAGTTGGAAAACATTCAGAAAAGGGAAACAAAAATGATCCAGTTAAGCTGGATGTTGGAAGATTCAGGGCAGATAAAAGAAAATCCTTTGTGCAGTGCAGAGTTAAACTACAGAACTCACTCCTGCAGGGGGCAGGGGTGGCCACTAACAGGTGGCTTCAAAGAGGATTCTACCAATTCATGGCAGAGGAGTATCAATGGCAAGCAGCCACGATGGCTATTCTCTGCCTCTGAATACCAGTTGCTGGAAACTACAGAAGGGGAGAGGACTTTTGTGCTCAAACCCTGCTTGTGGTTTTCCCACTGGAGCATCTAGTTGGCCACTGTGAGAAGAGGATGCTGAACTAGATAGACCATTGGCCTGGTCCAGCAGGCTCTTATTCTGTTCTCATGTTAGATCAGCTTGTGTGAAGTCGATCCTCTTCCAGCAAGGAAGAGGATCATGCCAAGCATCACTAATCCCATAGAACTGAATGGAAGCCACCTAAGGGCACAGTGCCCTGGGGTCTTGGCCTGGAAAGGTATCATCTTGGCCCATGAACAGGACAAGGAAGGTGGTGGATACTCCTTCACTGGATGTTTTAAAGCAGTCATTGGCTGGTCATCTGCAAGGGATTCTTGTGTTGTGATTCTTGCACTGAGGGGTTGGGATAGATGACCCTTTGGGGTCCCTTCCAACTTTACAATTCTGTGATTCTATGAAAATGCATCTCTAGCCATCAGCCTTAATTGCAAGAGCTGTACTCATCTTCCTGTTTTGCCTTGGAAATCAGGTTAAGTGTAATCTGTCCTAGATTCTCCCACAGATGGTTCGTTTCTTAAATACTTGAGGAGAGTTAAGTTGATCCTTAATTCCTTAATCTGGGAAGCAAGACAAACAGATTTGGAGGGGGGGGAGGCTTTTCCTTGTTGCAAATCTGGCAGGAATCACCCAAGGCTTCTTTGCTTTTAATTCCTAAGGAGTTAATTGGAAGCAAGTAACAGGATGGGGGGGGGGGAGGCCATGATTTTCCTTCCACGTTGGGGATGGTGGTTCTGTCTGTTATAGTGGGTAACTTGATTTATATTTTGTATTTGAAATTGTTTGTTTTTATGCTTTTGTCATGGCCTTTGGCTAGCACAATAAACTTACTTATGATGAAACCTTGGGCATGGGGAAGCCTCAATATTCCCTAGCCATTACCTCATCAGTTCCTCAAGAGCTTCCATCCATCTCCACTGGGCTCCTGGGGAGCTGTACAATATGGATGTTCTCCTTGGTTGCTCTCCATGGTAGCCATGAGATTCAGGACAGATCGTTCCTGCAATCAATTAGGGTTTAGGCCCAGTTTTGGCACAGAAACTGCTTTGATCACGCTGTATAATGACATCTATCAGGAGAGATAGGGAAAATGTGTCCCTGTTAATTCACCTTGACCTCTCAGCAGCTTTTGATACCATCAACCATGGGATCCTTCTGGAGCAGGTTTTAAGGGTGGATGGCACCGCTTTACGGTGGTTCTGGTCCTACTTGGATGGTTGTTTCCAGTGGGTGATCCTTGGGGAGTGTTCTTCAGCCCAGTGTAGCCTTCAGTGTGAGATTCCTCAGGGTTAAATTTTATTCCCTATGCTGTTTAACATCCACCGTATTTTTTGCTCTATAAGATGCACCAGACCACAAGACGCACCTAGTTTTTGGAGGAGGAAAACAAGAAAAAAAATATTCTGAATCTCAGAAGCCAGAACAGCAAGAGGGATCGCTGCGCAGTGAAGCAGCAATCCCTCCTGCTGTTCTGGCTTCTGGGATACCTGCACAGCCCGCATTCGCTCCATAAGATGCACACACATTTCCCCATACTTTTTAGGAGGGAAAAGTGAGTCTTATAGAGCAAAAAACACGGTACATGAAACCTCTCACTAGGATCATCTGGAGATTTGGAGTATGCTGTCAGCAATGCACACACCTCCTTTATCTGATGACACACAACTCTACTTCTGTTTTGAGAAGTATAGCAGTGGATTTGCTGGACCATTGTCTTGCCTTGGTAATGGACTGGATGAGAGCCAACCAACTGAAGCTCAACCCAGATAAGGCTGAGGCACTGTTTGTGGGTAGTTCACTAAACCGGATGGATGGGAGGTTGCCTGCTCTTGATGGGGTTATACTGCCTCTGAAGGAGGGCCATAGCTTATGAGTACTTCTGGATCCATTGCTATCACTTGAGGCTTAGGTGGCCTCAGTAGCATGGAGTGCCTTCTGTCAACTTCAGCTGGTTGCCCAGCTGTGCCCCTATCTGGACAGGGATAGCCCAAAGAGCCTTAAACAGCTCAGGACCACAATATCTCAAGGACCACCTCTCTCCACCCAGACCCTGAGATCATCCTTCAAGCCCCTTCTTTGTGGGCCTCCTCCACAAGAGGTCCGGAGGGTGGCAACAAGAGAAAGGGCCTTTTCTGCAGTGGCTCCCTTTCAGTGAAATGTTATCCCAAGGGAAGTTTGCCTGGCACCTTCATTATACACCCTTAAGCACCAGGCAAAAACATTCCTCTTTAACCAGGCATTTGGCTGATTGACATCCAATGCCCATTTAAATGTGTTGTGGGGGATATTTGTTCTTGCTTTTTCTTGTTTTATTATGTGTTTTTTTGTTATATTGTATTGTATTGTATTGTGTTGTGAACCAAATAAAGGGCAGTATACAATTCAAATAAATAAATAAATAAATAAATAAATAAATAAATAAATCACAGTTACCTTTCTCCGCTTAGAGAGGAGGAAAGGGGACCTAAAAACTGGGAAGTGTCATTTTGCTATTTTTAAGCAATGCAGGAATTTTTCACCCAACATGTAGCTTGAACCCACGACCTTAAGATTAAGAGTCTCATGCTCTACTGACTGAGCTATTGAGGATGACAGATCTGCTGGAAGAAGAAGGCGGCTTTGGAAAATAAATATGGATTCACCAAATCTGGAACATATTTCAAGTGAACATTTCCATACATGGGCTGCTGCTTGTTTGCTCATACTGGAAAGTGATCCATAACTTACTTTCCGTCAGGCAGCCTCCCTGGCCCATCACAGAGCTTCTCCGTGGGGGTGGGACTCTTTCGTGGGATGAATCATTCCCACCATGAATTACAGCAGCAGCAGCAGCAGCAGCAGAAGATGCTATTGTGGACGGGTCTGTATGATGATCACCTCACCGCTACTCCCAGCCCTGGCTTGGCCTTTTTAATATCACAGAGAGGAAAAGTATACCTCGCCTCAAAAAGGAGGCTGGAAAAGGAAAGGGGATGGAGGAAAGGTTGCAGCATTTGGGTCTTCTTTAGTTTAAAGAAAGGTAAGAAACGGTGTGATGGAAGTTCATAAAATGATGCACGGCATGGAGAAATTGGATGGAGGAAACACTCTTGTAACACTAGCACTAAAGAGGATTCTGCCAATTCATAGAGGAGAGAATTATTAATGCCTACTAGCCACAATGGCTATGCTCAGCCTCCATAGTTGGAGGCAGCTGTACTAGAAAGCGCAGGAGGGGAGAGTGTTGCTCTTGTGCTCAAATCCTGCCTGCTGGATCAGGCCAGTGCCTTAGCTGCCCAGCATCTTGTCCTCACACTGGTTGAACAGTGGCCCATGGGAAATAAGGAAGCAGGATTTGAGCACAAGAGCCCTCTCCCTTCCTGCAGTTTCCACAAGTGCTATTCAGAAGCACTGAATGGCTAGTAGCCATTCACAGCCCTCTACTCTATGAATGTGCCTAATCCTCTCTTAAAGCCTCTCAAGTTGGTGGCGATCACTGCCTCCAGTTGCAGTGTGTTCCCCAGGTTAACTACACACTGTGTGAAGAAGTACTTTCCTTAATCTTCCAACTTTCAACTTCATTGGATGCCCAAGAGTTTTGAGAGAGGGAGAAAAACTTTTCTCTGTCCACTTTCTCCAAGCCATGCATAATTTTGTAAGCTTCTTTCACCCAACAGCAGGGGGCTTTTGAACCTTTCTGTGGATGCCCCCCCCCCCCCGCTGCCATCCCCCTCCTGAAATGGTCTGGAGACTTGCAATCCCTTCCTCTGAATCAGTCAAGAACTCCTTGACTGAAACTTCACTCCAAACATGCAAGCAAGAGACTGGAGCTCTCCTTAGCAAGGGCTTGATAGTGTTAGACAGATAATTATTGATCTGGCCAGAGTTTATCCCGGCTGCCTAATTTCAATAAATGGTTGTGCTGGGGAATTAGCAAGGGATCTTGGTTGCCCTATTTCTTGGGGATCTGTCACAAACGTGATTTATACATGCTACAAAAAATTCATACTTACTGGTTGGCTGGGCAACTTTAGTTGGCAGAAGGTGCTTAGAAATGTTTTAGCATGTAAATATTTCCTCCTGGCTCTTAACATGCTGAGCAATGCCTTGAATAATGCCAAAGGCTTCTCTGCAAAACACGATCACTGAATTTCAATGTTGTCCCAGCTTTGTTTACACACACACACACACACACAGACACACACACACTAAAGGAAGAGAAATTGCCAGGAAAGAAAATGAAGCATTTCCAGGTTCTCTTCCAGGTGGGAAGTCTTCTACTGCGGTGACCAATGCCCCATTGAGAGAGGCCCAGAGGAAGCCACACCATAACTTTTGGCTATTTGAGTTGGGCTCTTCCTTCCAGTAGTTTGACTTGCCAGTAGTTATCAAAGAAACAGAATATTATTGGAGTTGGAAGGGACTCCAAGGGTCATCTAGTTTGACCTCCTGCATTGCAGGAATCACAACTAAACCATCCCTGACAGGTGGTCATCCAACCTCTGCTTAAAAACCTCCAAGGAAGGAGAGTCCAGCTCCTTCTGAGGGCACCTATTCCATTGTCAAGCAATGGCTTCTCTTCTCCAGGCTACACATGCCTAACTCCCTCAACAGTTCCTCACAAGGCTCGGTTGCCAGACCCTCCATCTTCTTGGTAACCCTCCTCTGCACACCTTCCAACCTGTCAGTTGCCCTCTTAAAGTGTGGTGACCAAAAATGGGCACATATGTTAGGACATAGGTTAGGAAGTCATAATAGGTGCCAATGTGTACTTTCCCTTCCCAGAGTGACGCTGGGCATCTCTCCAGAACATGGCTAGCACCCATCTTGGGACTTAATAATTCAGTATCACACAAGAGCGTTCATGGGAGAAAGAAATGCTCCATCAGCTCACAATAAGCATCAGGACACCCTTCTTGGTTAACACCTACAGGTGGATCTAGGCTATCCAAATGCCTGAAGAAGTCTCCAAGGAAGGTGGCCTGTATACAAAGTATGTCCAAATGTAGTAAAGGGCTTTGGACCTTACATGATAGATCCAGGCTCAAAGGGTAAGCCTTCCATTGTCTTTAGTTGCCCAAAAGCACTCAGTACCTTTCTGCAGTTTTGTGTCTCTGCCTGGAGCAAGTCTGTTGAGTAGCCTCTGACAGCCCAAGACTCACCCTTGAGGGTGACCAAACCCACAGGTGAAACAGGATTCTGGGCTGGAGTGAAGACAACTGCACTTTGGGCTCACGCCTCTAGCACACTCCTTGCGGCATCCTGTGAATAAGTGGTGGTAGTGAGGCTAATGTTTGCAGGATACTTCCTTGGAAAAGAGGTCAGCCTTTATTAGCATGATTCACTTGGGGCTATAAGAAACCTTTGCAGAGTCAGGACCACCCAGAGTGAACATTTTGAAGCTGCTTTTGGTTAACAAGACTCTCCTCTGTGATTTCATGGAAGGAGGGCAGCCCTCTTATTACCATGCCCTATTTAAAGCTGTTAGCAACGTTTCTTCCCTTTTAATTCTTCTAAAACAGAAAAACACACAAAACCTGTAAAAGGAGCTAAAACCCGAAGAAAATCAGGGGGAGATGCAGGAACCCCATTGCTGGAAATCACGAGCAAATTATTTCCCAGATGAGAGGCCTTTTTGGCGCGGCGGAGATATTGCCCATTTTTCACAGCAGACAAAAACATTTTCCAGCGGATCAATTTAACGTCGCCAAGTCGGCTCTTTTCAACCCACAATCCATCATATTTCCCCTTCTGCAATCTGCCAGTGTCCAAGTGTTTTAAGTTTCAAATGAATTATTTGATCACGCACAAGCAAGGGGTGCCTTTTCTCCCCACCGAAATTAGGACATTGCCAGCCTGCCCCATTCGGGTCACAGGCCATTGGGGGCTGCGTGGAAGAGCCCCCCACCCACCTAGGGCTTCTGTATTGGCAGCCCCGTTAGCCGGCTCATCTGTCAAAGAGATCCGGCCATCAATCACGGGGCCGCCTGATCAATATGCAGCTTATGCATTCATCGCTCCTTCTGGGAGACTATTAGGATGAAGTTGTCAGTGGAGCAGGAGCAAAGGGGGGGGGGAGGGGAATGTGTGTCTGTGTGTCTGTGTCCACATGTATGTGTGTGAGAGAGTGGTCAGCAGCAGGAAGCATAACCCCAGTGGGAAGCCCAAAGTGAGCTGCTTTTTGAGCAAAACAATTTTTTTGACAGATTTATTCGGAGGCTCCAGAATGCACTGCTGGATGTGAATCATCCTTCAACAAGGCAGAACTGGGGGTTTTTTGGGGGGAAAGGGGGGGAGACCCCACCCTTGATTGGCCTGTCAAGGTGATTTGTGAGCTGCACCAGCTCAGGTAATGGGTGAATCCTAGAATAATATAGTTGGAACGGATCCCAAGGGTCATCTATTCCAACCTGCTGCAGTGCAAAAATCATAGCTAAAACATCCAAACCCACCAGTGCAAGGGCACCAGGGGGTGGGTGGGGTGGTATCCAAGGCAGATCAGAGCAAGGGGGCTTGCAAATGAAGGAATCCACCAGTGGAAGGGCAGGGGGCTAGGCTCAGATTCTTACTAGCATCTGACTCCTTCTTTTTAAACACCTTTTATGCTTTTATTTACCACTGTTAATGAGGAATGGAGCAGGTGCATCCATCAGGATCAGGAGTAGCAGAGGCTGGCAGCTGCAAGACCTGTGGCTACATCTCTAGGGGAACTCAGAGCCTGGTGGGCTTGCTTCTGTCTGCCTCTTTTCAGTTCTGGGGGGCTGTCCTGACCACCAGACCAGGTGACGCTCACAGTACCTTTCAGCTCACCTCACCTTTTTGTCTAAAAGAGATGCAACACTTGGCTTGTTTGTATTGTTTGTTTTCATATCCCACCTTTTCTCCAGGGAGCTCAAGGTGGCGTATATGCCTCTCTTACTCTCTGTTTTCTCTTCACGACTGCCCTGTGAGGTAGGCTAGACTGTGACTAGACCAAGGTTACAGCCAGTGAGCTTCATGGCTGAGTGGGGACTCGAACCCTGGTGTCCCCAATTATTGGGACAGCATACTATGATGGTGATGGTGATGATTGGGGCAGCTAGGAGAATACAATACATAACATCTAAACACAAAGCAAGTGTATTTGTTTTCTTTATCATATGCAAATGTATACAGATACAGTCAATTAATTGACTTAAGCTTAATCAATTGAGGCAGTGATGCCACCAACTCGGATAGTATTAAAAAAGAACTAGACAAATTCACAGAGAGGCTATGCTCTGCCTCCCCAGCTGGAGGCAGCAGAACTTCTGAATCCCTGTCGCTGGAAACCACATGAGAGGGGAGGGCTCTTGTGCTTGAACCCTACTTGTGGGTTTCCCTTTAGGACATCCGGTTGGCCACTGAGAGGTCAAGACAATGGACTAGATGGGCTACTGGCCTGATCCAGCAGGCTCTGCTTACATTCTTATGTATGTGTGTGTGTGCTGGTGGGGGTGTTGTTGAGCCTTGATTCCTGACACTAATCACTTTGACCTCCATGGCTGGCCGCTTAATCCAAGGCTGCTGACCCTGTGACCCCAGGGGCCTTCAATAATGATGCAATAAAAGGTATTGGGTGGGGAATGAGC